TAATTAAGATGATGATGATAATAATAATGATGATGAAAATAATAATATTAACAATGATAATAATAATAATAATGAAGATTATAATAATAATACTAAAGATGGTGATAATAATAATGATGATGAAGATAATGATAATGACGATAATAATAATAATAATAGTAATAATAAAAATAATAAAGATGATGATGATAATAATAATGATGATGAAAGTAATATTAATGATAATAATGATAATAATAATAATTCTAGAAGAATGCGATTTAAGAAAAGAAAAAACAAAGTGTTAACCAATGCTTAACCATATTTCAACAATATATATATATATATATCTTCAAGGTATTTTTTGAATTCATAAAAGCATTAAAATAAAAAAAAAACAAGTTTTTGTATAAAAGTCGCTTGTCTTGAGAAAAACGATTGTTTTGGCAATCAACGCGACAAAGCGGGTGAAACTCAGCAAGCGTGAATGGAATGCAGCTTAACCACAAGTAACACGATGGGGACGTGAGCATCTTAGAATTTCCCATCAGTTGATTAGTTAGCAAGAGCCATTAATCAAATAGTTTAACATAAATCTTACGGAACTCTCCAATCATTTTGTTAATTCCCTCTGGGTGGGACGTTAGTAATTTGCATTTGTAAATATTTTCGTGCGTTTTAAGAGTTTAAAAGTCGGCGAATTTTAGATATATCTTTAGTATGTGTAACTTACGTTATTCGCCGAATTTACAGTCGTTCGTGACAAAATGGTGTATTTTCTTTTCTTCATTTTGTTTTTCTTAAATCGCGCTCTGATGGAAGTGTTGCAGCATATTAAAAGAGTTAAGTCAATTAGTTTATTTGTTTAATAATAAAAACAGTATATTATGTACATAAAAGTATATAGATTTAACTGGAACTATATGGTTGCTGTAGTATTTTGTAAGCATTAAAAAACCTCGGCTGTAGTTGAAGTATCTGTTTAAAGCGAAATAGAAGGTAGTATAAAAGTAATTGGTTCGATGACTTGAACACGTCTCTTCCCACTCCATCGGTGTAAAGCAAATATTATTGGTAATTAACATTCCACACGGAGGCTCGAGAGACAGCATGAAAGTAAGTTTTATGGAGATGGGAAGCAGGGGCTTTCGGATGTGAATGGGCGGGAAATATATATTTATTTTCAATTTTGTAACACGCATACTGTTAGCATGGAGATGGAATTAACTTCAAAAACAAATTTACTCTTATCTTTGATAGCAGACACAGACGAATCGGGTTACATATCTATACATGTCAATATATAGACACATCTTAGGAGATGTATTTGCTCAGATATACAAATGCACCTACATTGGCCAAGCTATCACTCTTTTATTTCCAGCTGTCTGTCTGTCTGTCTTTGTCTCTTTCTTTCTCTCTCTCCTTTCCTCTCTCTCTCTCTCACTATATATATATATATATAAGGAGAGAGAGATGGAAGTAGGAGAGTGAAATCTTGGCTGGTGTAGGTGCATTTGTATATCTGAGCAATCTCTCTGTCTCTCTCTGTCTCTATCTCTCTGTCTCTGTCTCTCTCTCTCTATATATATATATCTATAGCGGAAAAGAGAAAGAGTGACCATATATATATATATATATATATATATATATATATATATATATATATATATACGCAGCCATAATATAAGGAACGGAAATAACAAAGACATAAATATGTGTATTACTTAAAAGTAATGCATGATTAGCAATGAAATTTTTACCGAATAAAGATTAGTGTGTAATGCATAAATATTATACAAAGTTACAAAATATTACATAATAGTTTTTTTTTAAAATAAAGATTAAATGGAACAAAGGAAATAAGCTACCTGACAAAAGTTAAGGAACGATCTTGTTAATACTTGATTGTGAACAAAATATCAACAAAATTTAATATTTGGTAAACATCCCCTTATTTGCAATGACTTCTCTACATCGTCGACCACATGATCTAATTAATTTCTTGCAAAAATCAGCAGTAATTGCCTCCCATTCGTCTTTCAATAACTCCCATAGGTGATCCTAGTTTTTAGGGTTTCTTTTCAGCATTGATATTGCCATGTACGCGGATGATATGGCCAAATCCTGCAGATGAAATCATTCCTCACACCATCACACTGCTGCCACCAAACTTAACCGTTTTCTTGACACATTGAGAAGACAGTCTTTTACCTTTTCTACGGCGTACATAAGTTTTGCCCTCAGAACCAAATATAGTAAACTTGGACTCGTCACTGAAATGAACTGTATCCCTTTGTGCGTCAGTCGAAACAACATGTTCTCTCGCATACTCCAGGCGTGCCCTTTGGTTTCACTTTGAAATGAGAGGTTTCGAAGCTGGAATATGGGCATGCAATCCTGTATTTTTTAACCCGCGAGCAACCGTTTTCCTTGAGATCTTATTATCTGTCTCTTCATTAAATTTACGGGCAATTGATGTAGCAGATTCAAAACGGGTTTTTGTAGATATTCTAACAATTCTTCGAATTTCTCTTTGCAATGTTTTTGGAGGTCTGCCGGTTTTTGGTTTTGCATTTAACGTTTTATCGATTTTCTACCTGCTAATTACACGATGAACGACACTTTTAGACCTATGAACAATATCAGAAATTTCTGAAAGTGACTTTTTTTCTTGATAGCGATAATAAGTTTTTTTTTTCTTCAAAAGAGAGCGTTTTGCGTGTAGAATTTGCCATATTGCTTAAAAATAAAGTCCTAATGATGAATGAACTTTTACTTATTGTTGAAAAGCTCCATCGAGTTTTTTAACAATGTAAATTAAAAGTTTATGCATATTGTTAACATCGTTCCTTAACTTTTGTCCATTAGCTTATTTCCTTTGTTCCATTTAATCTTTATTTAAAAAATAACTATTATGTAAATTTTTGTAACTTTGTATAATATTTATGCATTACACCCTAATCTTTATTATGTAAAAATTTCATTGCTAATCATGCATTACTTTTTAAGTAATACACATATTTATGTCTTTGTTGTTTCCGTTCCTTATATTATGGCCGCTACTGTATATATTCAGCACAGAAATAACTCCCTAAAGACTATATAATAGTAAAGTAACACAAAGTAATCTGTGCCAAAAAGTCAAAGCGTAATATTTTATATAATGAAATCCGGAGTTCACATGAACGGTCAAGAGAGTATGGGTTCAAGTTCTCATATCATGAACAGACCATCACCAACAGCCTAATGACCACGCGCAAAATTGCGTACGAAACATGCAGTCGTGGCTGGTCAGATTAACTTTGTATCTGATTAATAATAATAATAATAATAATAATAATAATATATATATATATATATATATATATATATATATGTGTGTGTGTGTGTGTGTGTGTGTGTGTGTGTAATTCGAGGGGAGAGAGAACTCATAGATTTTACAAATTTTTATACATATATTTTTATTACTTTAAACGTTATTATTATTGGATGTCCGTATTTGATTAGACGCGGAGTTTATTTTATGTGCAGTTCTGTAGACGAAATACTCGCTGTTTAAAATAAACACACCGTATTCTCAATTGCTGGCATCTACTTAAATAACTGTTGAAGTAGCAATATATATATATATATATATATATATAGTGAAAGACAGACAGACAGAGAGAGAGAGAGAGAGAAAGAAAGAATTGATATAAGTAAATGTTTTGTCACTTAGCTGATAAATGTTACCTTCAACATCAGGACTATTTAAACTATAGTTCGAGAAATTATAAAAAAAAGTCACTATGTGGGTAACATTATTGAAACACTGAGAGGAATAAACTTAAAACGGGTTATTATTCTTTATTTTTAATCTTTCAGAGCATTTTTCGATTTTGTAAACATCTAAATATTACAGGGAGCTAACTCTTGGGTGTAAGGTGAAGTGCTTTTTTTTTTTGTAATAGGTTAATCTTCTGTTAAAGTCTGCTTCATCGTTTCACACTTCATATTCTTCTACCATCCATTGCGTACCTAAAGGTCAGAGTGTACCAAGATTTTGGTCAGCTCTCTTCTTGAGTAATCATATCTTCATTCTTCGATTTACAGCCTGTACAACTCAAGAACACTTCATTTCACCATAGCATGCTGCGGATTGAGGAATCGGAGAGCCGAGTTCGAATTCCAGTCGAATCCATTACGTTATATATGTAACCCGACTCGTCTGTGTCGAGCTAGCAAAGATAAGAGTAAATTTGTTTTTGAAGTTAATTCCATCTCCATGCTGACATTGTGCGTGTTTCAAAATTGAAAATAAATATATATTTCCCGCCCGTTCACATCCGAAAGCCCCCGCTTTCCAATCTCCATACCTAATACCCTTGGGAAATGTATGAATCCTCTTCTTCTCCTCTCCCCAGCTATGGGTAAATAGCAGGTCAGACCGGGTTCTATAGCCTTGGATGACAACTGGTCTATCGAAATGGCAACCTACTGCGGGAAAAAATCTGCATTGTCAGTCATGTCTCGAAAGATACATGATCGCCCAAGCGTGTATAATGCATGGCACATAACTGACTGATGTTCAGCATAAGCCATTTTGAATTGAGCTAACATTTTCCCAATCTTTACACAAAATTTGATGCTTGATCTCCTGACCCTTATTCGTTTCACACATTTTCTGTAAACAGTGAAGTATGAACAGGTACCACTTCCTCTACTGCTTATGTAGACTGCATCACCATCAAGTGTATGTTGGACCTGAATATTTATCTGATATTTCCTTGAATAAAGTCTAATCAGAAGTGTGCGCACACGTACACACACACACATACACACACACACGCGCGCACACATAGACATACATACACGTGTGCTACCGTAGTACGAAGTTTGACAATGCAATTCCCTCAATGTCTCTGTAAATCTAAAGTTTCCACGTTTGGTTACTATCGTCTCTCACATTACAAGGTGGGGTATTTTGAAAGTGAAAGTAGGCAATGGTAATCAGAGAGGTAAAATTTGGCTTATAGTGATATCACGTTAAAACACCGGTTTTCGTACGATCACTGAAGTTAAGCAACGTTGAGCCTGGTCAGTACTGAGATGGGTGACCGCTTGGGAATACCTGGTGCTGTAAGCTTGAATGATGAATAACGACTCGGAATTGTTAATCGGAGAGCCGAGTTCCACTTCCAGTTCGGTTCGTTATATTAACTTACGCGAAAATACTGCTGAGATAGGTATGAATTCACGTCTTCTCTCCCCCATATATGGGTTAATTAGTAGCACTTGTACCAGTAAAAATCACTATTATCCCCCAAAACTTCTGAAAACTTAAAAATATTGTCTAGCTTTAAATGACCTGTAAAAAGGTTGTAAGAAATAAATTAGTCAATGTAGGTAAACTTTTTTACTGGGTCATTCTGGGAATTAAATTGCCGATATTGGAAGCACCAACTTTGAGGCTTTTTTTTTTATTATTATTCCTGCTAGAATTTGCCGCGTTATTTTCCTATTCATGTTCAGTTCTTCTGCCATTTGATGACCACAAGCTTCGCACACTGTTCCCATGTGTATCTCTTTTTTGTGTGTTTCTGTATGCCACGGTTTGCATCTTCGCTTATGTTTTCTCGTCCTTCTTAAGAACCACCTGTGCCACACAATTTCCACCAATTCTTTCATGGCACATTCCCCATATAAGTCAGTTTTGTACGTCTAACGTTTCACCAGTACTTTTATCAATCTTCGCGCAAAGTTTGAGGTTAATCCGCTGCTTTAGACCGTTCTCAGTCATTTTCCGCCAACATTATGACATGAACGCGTATATCTATATTCCCGGCATCTTTAAAGAAAAGTTGAAAATTGAAAATATTCAGGAAATTAAATTGCGAAGTTGCAAATGATTTAAAGGTCTGTCTATATTTCTGAGATGAGTTATTATGTACATTATTTACATTATTCGGACTATTGTCCTCAAGGACACATGGCACAGTGGATAAAGGCGTTGGTTAGATCCAGTGACAGGACCCAAAATGTGTAAGTTCAATACCCGGTTGAGGCAGTGGAGAACTTTCAGAACCTTATATTATGGCCGCTACTGTATATATTCAGCACAGAAATAACTCCCTAAAGACTATATAATATGACAGGTCAACACAAAGTAATCTGTGCCAAAAAGTCAAAGCGTAATGTTTTATATAATGAAATCCGGAGTTCACATGAACGGTCAAGACAGTATGGGTTCAAGTTCTCATATCATGAACAGACCATCACCAACAGCCTAATGACCACGCGCAAAATTGCGTACGAAACATGCAGTCGTGGCTGGTCAGATTAACTTTGTATCTGATTAATAATAATAATAATAATAATAAAAACTTCTGAAAACATAAAAATATTGTCTGGCTTTAAATGACCTGTAAAAAGGTTTCAGATAACTTTCAGATAACTGATAACTGACATCCATCAAACATGGCACGTGGAACTAGAACAGTCTACCCCAGTGAGCGAAATAAAGGGTTCAGTTAGAAATTCCAACCACCTGAAGAAGGCCGGAGCGTACAACGGCCGAGACGTTGTGATAAATATGGCGATTTAAAGGTGTTATTTTGTTAGATATTCATCTCCATTTTTTTTTTTGGGCTTTTCTCATTCGCTTCTATAACTATACTATCATCATCACGTTCACGATAATCATCATCAACATTGTCGTCACTATCTACCTCACTATTGCCATAACCAGCATTATCAGTGTCACTAGAATTTTCATCAGGACTACTATCATCATTGCTGTCGCTATCAACGCCATTAATGGAGCCGACCGTGGTCGGGATCATCGAGTCAATGCGAATGATTCATTTCTTAGCTGCATAGTATGTACATCGCCAGGGCTATATACAGTTTTCAATTCAGAGTTTTCCTTCTCCTAGAGTGATTGCCACTCGATACTAGAGAACCATTTACCATGGCGAGGGGAAGAGTTAGCTTCATACCTTTTTCTAATGGTATTAGCACGTAAGTGAGTGTAATGAACTCGACTGGAATTCGAGCTCGACTCTCTGATTCCTGAAATGAGCAATCACAATTAACGCTGTGATGATTGATATCATGACAGCCATTGTTTTTCTCCTCCCCTCCTCCTCATCCATCATCATCATCGTCATCAACATCACCATCATCATAGTTATCATAACCAGCATTATCAACGATACGGTGACAATCATCGTCATCAACATCACCATCATCATAGTTATCATAACCAGCATTATCAACGATACGGTGACAATCATCATCATCATCATCATCATCATCATCATCATCATCTCCGTAACTATCATCATCACGATTAACATAAACACCTTCACCAGGTTCATTATCATCCTGATCATGAGCGTCAACCTCATTATGAACAGAACTATTTTCGGCATCACTGTCACTTTTTTTTATCCTAATTATCATCATTATCATTATCATCGCCGTCATCATTATCTTCATCACTATCATGATTGAGTATTTTCTAATTTTTTTATTCCTTATTTTTTTCTCAAAATTATTTTTTCGTATTTCATATTCTTCTTTTTTATCCTATGTTCTACGAATATCCATTTTCTATAATTATATTTTGCCTTTAAATATCACTTACACTTCTAAAATAATTTTGGTTGTCTACTTTCTATACTTGATTTTGCAACCCTCATATTAAAATTTGCTTCCTCTTTCGATTATTAGTGTTATTTCATGCATTTTCATGTTCATCTGAAATTATTATTAGAATTATTAATGTCAACATTTTTTCTTCTGAAAATTTTTTGCGATACAAAAAATGTTCCTTCACTTATTCTTCAAATTCATCCGAAATAATTCCAAGGACAAACTTAACACGCTAAAATCAGCTACCAATTAGACAGCGTGGGAGTCAATCTCAACCAATCGGAGCTTTGCGGCGTCATACGCTGTCGTTCGGCTTTGATAATTCGTTAAATACTCAAAAAAAAAAAAAAAAAAAAATCCATGCATATGTGCGTAATTTTTTAAAAGTGGTGGAATGATCAATGGATTTGACGAATATTAATTTAAGTGTCCACGACTGTACGTGTGAAACTGCGGACATGTTTTCGGATGGATGTGTCTACGAGATGCGTTACCGTTGAACTGATGGAACTATTTGTAAGTAAAATGACTTGCTTAAATTTGAAAGTCCATTTAGAGTATTGAGTGCATTAAATTCACACCTTCCCTCTTTCTATATATATATATATATATATATATATACATATACCACATAGAAAGACACTCACACACTTATACATACATACGTATGTATATATATATATATATATATATATATATATATATATATATATATATATTATTCCTTACTGGTGGAACGACTCGGAGTTTCATGCACAACGCAGTCTTCAGGTGCTGAGTAGAGACTAACCGTTACAAATTTTAAATTTTAATAAGAATATCTGGTTAATGCAATGCTTTCGCAGTCCATATATTATACGAGGATTACTGTTTTTTTATATATATATATATTTATATATATATATATATATATATATATATATATATAAAAATTGAGGTAGCATCTCAAACACAAAAATTCTATAAACACACAGAGGCATATATATATATATATATATATATATATATATATATATATATATATGTGTGTGTGTGTGTGTGTGTGTGTAAAATTGAGGTAGCATCTCAAACACGTGTACCCACTAAAATAACGTTTCATAAGATAAAACTGTGCATATTATCGGAGAGATTTCTTTTTATTCGTCTTCTTCAATTTCATTTTCGAAGAGTGCTAAAAAGTTCCCACTCCATTTCTCACAATGAGACGAAATAATGAAACGTCAATATTTGGGGGAAAATGGCTTCTTTGTTTGAGTGAAAACTTATCGCCAACGTCACGGTTAGGTTTTTTTTCGGCATATCAACCTTACTGGGTTACTTGATGTGGACAAGATTTTTAGGATAGATTCCTATGAATAGAATATATATTCTTTCTTAGATATCAGTTTGCAGATCAATTTTCATTGACGTATTTTGGTAAGGAGGGTTTTTGTCGAAAGTCAAATATCTTGCTGGTAATATATTTTTTCAAGAATGTGTTCCTGATATTTTTACTATGATAAATCTATTTTTTTAAATTTCATAACGTTTTGACAATATGCCCGCAGTTGGGATCCAAACAGGTGCTACCACCCCGGGTTAGGGTCGACCTGGGAACAACAGCAATTGAAAGGTAGTTCCACGCTCCTCAAAAACTCCTGATCAGAGGCCTTGTTGCCGGGTGTAGTTTATCTTCATACCCAGGACGCGTCACCGTCACGTGCGTGTACGTTAATAAAACGTAATACAAGGACTAAGCATAAACAGAAGCAACCCTTAACATCATCGTCTATAACGATCGCCATAATGTATCAAATCTTGTCACAAGATCGCGCATATTTGGCTGTGATGCATGTTCCTGGTATACCCTTATCAGACTGGGTGCCATGATGAGTATTTTGGGTTTCGTATATTTACACCCTAGTATGACTTTGTTGGCGCACTGTACTTTCACTTGATAATAATAATAATAATAATAATAATAATAATAATAATAATAATAATGTTGTACGGTGTTGGCACCCACTGAATATAAAACCCGACATGACAGAGTGGGCCAATATCTGCACTGGAAAATCTGCAACTTCTACGGGAAGGAAACTGAAAGAAACTGGTATGAACACTACCCACACCCGGTTACGGAGATAGGACCTGTTACAATTCTATGGGATTACACAATACACACTGACAGAACAATCAAGGCCAACCGCCCAGATATTGTTATTAAAGACCACAAACAAAAACGGTGCCTCCTTATTGATATGGCAGTCCCTGCTGACTGCAATGTATCTTTGAAGATATTCAAAAAGTTGTCAAAGCACAAGGACCTTGAAATAGAAATCTCGAAAATGTGGCATATGGGAACATCAACAATCCCTGTTGTAGTTGGAGCCCTAGGACTGGTTGGAAAAGATTGCAGTAGACTAATTGAAGGGATTCCTGGAAGTCCATGCCTCAAGGAGATACAAAAATTGTTCTGACAAGTACAGCCCACACCTTACGAAGGGCT